AAGTTATTATATAAAGATAGGGAAAGTAGAATTGAGGACATTTCTTCACAGGAAGGAATAAATACATCTACGCGTTAAAGGGATACTGCATAAAGAAAGGCCAGCTGTGTTTTTCTCCAAGCCTAAAAAGCAGCATGCCCACTTAAACTGAATTCTTTGAGCAAGGAAAGCCTACTTGTCAAATGCCCACTGCAATACAATCATAGCTCACTTTATATTTAGAGCAAGAGTTGAATGTGACAGGTTTTTTCATTGCTACAAGAGACACTAAGATCTCTCCACAATCTGAAGCACATGAAGATTATAGTTTCTCTTTCAAAATTTACCTAACAGCTGCCTCCTCTATGTTTCATAGATTTGAAGTCTCAAAGGAGTTGACAGGATTATGAAGAAAGGATGTGGATTTTTTAACTCATTCCTTCATGACAGGATAAACAAAACAATCACAAACTAAAGAGAAAAAAATGAGGAATCTACACTTGCTAGAATAATTCCTACACTCCTGACAGATGACTGAAATCAACTTCTGTTTGTAAAGTTGTGTTTGACATTACTTTCATGACTTTCGATGACTTTGCACGCATATGACAAAGAAACATAGAATGAGGATCCACATACCATTCATGACTCTGATTAAATGCATTATAGTTAAGTAAAAACAGTACCCTTCTTTTCCATTCACAGCAGTAGAATTGGTCACCTTTGCACACCAATGGTATGCCAGCATTATAATCTCACTGGAGTTGCATCTGTATTTACAATAGGTTTGTATGAATCAGGAGTCTGTTTCTCCACTAAAACAGCTTCTTGATTACCACTCTGCCATATACCCCAATCAAGCTGAGCTATTGCAGCTGAAGGGACCATCATCTCCTACAGCTGGGATTAACAGCCATCTTGTCAGCTACCTCAAATGAACAAAAGAGGGAAATCAGAGCCCTCTTTCTCAGAAGCTCACAGCATAACACAGAGTTATATGTAGGTAGCAGTCTACCACAGCACACCAGCATGGACCTGCGGCACCTCAGTAACAGGCATAGCATCTTAAGAGCTCTGCGGACTATGGCAACAGAGCCACTCCAGCCAGCTCACACACATCTCCCATCTGAGTTAGCTAGAGACACAGTTTTGTTTGTCCCAGAGGTTTCCTCTCCAAGGAGCAGTCACCCAGGCTAGCAGGCAACACAGCAGCTTCATTCTACAAAACTACATAACTTGTTTATTCTGGAGTCCATTTGGAGAGAGATGGCAAGAACAAGTGTAGGGTTTATCTTGTAAAGCTGATGGCAACAGTCAGAGAATACTGAATGCAAAACCTGGCCAACAATTTCAGCCCGCTGCAAAGCACGTGACATACAACCACAAAAAGAAGCCAAGCAAATGATATAACCGATGATAACTCTTTAAAACAGTAATCCCAAGCAAAACAGATATCCAATAGCACTCATTTTCTCTCTCCAAAAGACTTAACATTTGAGATGGTGGGGGCTGAAAAAGCCTCCAAAGCATTCATATCTTTATGAATAGCTCCTAGTGCCTACAGCAATCCATAGTTCTTCACCGAGCTTTAGCAAGCACATTTAAGAGGGGCTTTTGTTGGACTGAAACACAGATCATCCAGCAGGTATGAAAAAATAATCTGACAAAAAAGCTATTAACAAAAATTTGTCAAGAAAAATAAGACAAGTCATGAAAAATATAGGAGTTGGAAAGAAAGGCTTAAAGAATAACAAAAAGGTAGTTTACTGAAAAGGGACAACATGATAAGGTGGTGTCTTGGTTTAACTGTTTAAGTCACAGAATTATAAATATATTTGAAGAAAATGAACTGTGAAATGTGTGTAAAGAACACACTGCTCTACTATGACTGGTGATGGTAGAGTTACACTGCATATTTAGGCACAAATCCAGAAAAGGCAATTACCAGGTTACAGTTACAATTTCAAGAGCAGAGTAATAGGCTACAATGTACTGAACAGAATGAACCAGGAACAATCAATAAAACAGATAATCAAAATACAGCTAGCTTCCAACATTCTGATCAAAGTCTTAAAGATAATAAAAAAATCAAGAAGAGAAGCACATTAAGAAAGGGCCACAAGATTTTCAGACACCTCTGCACTGATTTATTGTCTTAAAATGGTTGTATTCACACAGCAGACTAGAAAAAACTGCAGTTGCGAAAACACCTGTAGTAACAAAATACGTGATTTAACAAGAGAATGGCTTTATTTAAACTTGTAATGCTATAATGTGATGGAAAGCATAGCAATAACAGAGAAGTGGCACAACCCTAGGCTACAACAAATGAGAACAAACCCAAATGCAGGAGCTGTGGATGCAAGAATAGAGAAAGAAATAAAGAAAAAACTACTTACCTTTTAAAGGCCTCTGGTAGGCAGGGACTTCCAGCAAGAGGTATCTTTGCCTCCACTGCCAACCCTTAAATGAGGTCTGGGAAGGGGTGGATTCTGGCTCCACCCCTTCTCATCACTCAGGAACATTGCACACACCTGAGCTCCCCTGGGTGGGCCCTGCCTTCCCAACAGGTGCTCAATCACTGCTTCAGGCCATGACTTAGCATTTCTGCTACAAAACTACACAGCAATACCAGCTGTACAAGATTAAAACATCAGGCCCGTGATTCTTTAACACAAGATATGCTAACACAAATTATTTTTCTCCATCCCCTCTACAAGTAATAACAACTACCCCACTTAGCTTCCATCAAGCCTTTTAGAAATTCACCAAAGGCTTTTATATAGTTAAAAAGCTATCCTCACCTGGAAATAATTATTTTCTCCCTAGCACTAAAATGCCAAAACATGGTACCTCCACAAAAGTATTTGTCTTATCTTCTCCTAACAGGGTCCCTTTCAGCTTCTGACCTTGAAATAGACTCTTCCATATTTAACTTGGTTGTTTAAAAGATCAAACCCAGGAAACTATGAAGGGAATAAATACCAAATTGCCCACAAGGACTCACCTGGTTAGAGAGCAGACAGTGCAGGTTCTCCCTGAGGAGAGCTCAGAGAGCTCTTATCTTTTTGTTCTATGAGGGGCCAACATAAAAATAAAGCTTTCCTTCTGTCCTGCGTCTTTGCTGACTTTGATTCCAGCTATCTAGAATAGAGCAGATCAGTAAGAAAATTTCCTCAAGCTGCTCCACGAAATCTTCACAAAAGCCTCAGGCTAGCAGTTACTTCTAAATTAACTTCTAGTTGCTTCTAGTTACTTCTAAAGTAACTGCTATTCTATCACCTGTTTTTCTGGCAATTAGCCTCAGATGCTATTCAATCAACTTATATAACGAAGTCCAGCTGGGATCTTCTCAGTCATCACATGAAGGGGTGCTTTTTCTCTACATTTAATGTCTCCTTACCACAAACAAAAAGCTGGATAATAACTAAAGAAAAAGTATGCACAATGCAATTCAACTATACCAAAAGCATAGAAAAATTCTAAACAATTTCAAAAGACTGGGACCCCACAAAAGCATTAAGTTTCTGACACACTAGAAATACTAGCTCATTTCAATCCCCACTTAGGAAAAAGAGAGGAATTATGATAATATATTCAGAGAGGTTCTTGAAATATAAATCCATGTTTTCTGATTGCATTAAACCAGGAAATTCAGTATGATTTTATAAAAAGAAAAAAGACATCAAGGATACTGACAAACTTTGTTTAGCATGTTTTTAAAAATAAATCTTAGTGCACTATCTCTACTGTTTCCTCAAACAGCACCAGAAAACAAACGAATTGCAAAAGCCCAAGTCTGTTAGCATGTCTTGGCAATGAGAAAGGTCAAACTGACCTGAACTGGTGTGACTGGTTTGGTCCCTCATCTGGTTGCCCAAAACTTAAAAGACAATAGCACTCAAAAACATTTGCAACAAAACTGTCTTTACTTCAAAGCTATTTCAAAGTTTATTATAGTTCTTACAGGATCATCCAAATATAGGGAGGCAGAAACACTTATATTACTTAAGACCTGCATGACTGGTGGATGGTTGTAGCACTTGAAAAAAAAATTGCTCAATTTCTGTATTCCAACAGAAGAAACAAACCTGATTGGGAACAGCTGAAAGTGAATATAGTAGAGATTGAAGACAGGAAAAAAAAAGCAGAGTGAGCCAATAGCAAATAATATTATTTTCTTTCTATGATCACCTTTAACTTAAACTTTAAGACTTGTGCTTGTGCCTTGACTACCACTTTATAAGAAATCTAATTTTTTAAAATCTAAATTAAAAAAAATAATGTTCTTAAAGGTTCTTAAAGACAAAAAAAAAAAACATTGCCACTATGGCCTTCACCTCCAGCACGTCTCCAGCAGAACAGCGGGGAGGCAGCAATACTCTCAAAGGCAAACCGACCCAAGGCAAACAGACAAGACTGTGAAGGCTGATACACAAAAGCTATGTCCAAACAATTTCTTCATGGAACATGGGCATTCAAACAACGATGATTAAAGAAATGATTAAAAAAATACTGTAAAGGAGGAAAGTATTTATTTTAAAGGAGATCTCTAAATGTTTCATGAAAGAGTATCAGGCTAACTTGTTTATTTTAAAACAAGAGAAAAAGAAGGTCACAAATGAAGTCACAGCTCACTTGAGTTCTTACATTATAAGAATTTCTTACTGAGTTTCTCAGAACTCAGTGAATATGCAACTGTACTGACTCAGTCACCTCCACACCGTCTACAATCTGCTAGATATTTCTGTAAAAGGCAGAGAAACTCTCTGCTCATTCAGATATTGTATGTTGAAAGCACAGAAATTTTATGAACTGGAACTTGTGTCACTGCATCCATATTACTACATCCTGTAATTAAAAATGTTTCCCTCTAGAGCTCATTTATCTCCCATACTAACTTCTGCAGGTTTACTAACCTGTACTAGCCATAAATGTCTCTTCACTTCTAGCTGTTCCTCCTCCAAGATCATATCTTTATCTGGTTTGTCAAAATCTACTAAGAAGTGGACAAGACAAAGTTTTAATCAAATGTAAGCAGTAACAACAGGTTTTATTCAAAACTTCCAGTAAAGAGGACCCACTAAGTTTGGAATAAAGGTACTTAAAGTACTACAGCTTACACAAATATAAAAGATCAAAGAGAAGAAAATAAACCAAGCAGTAAAAAAAATTTAAAATATATATATTTTTTAAAGTTTGAAACAGACCCACATGGGGATTTTGAAGCCCTCCAAACAATTAACAGTTTCTAGATTTGGCAAAACAAGATTCTCTTACAAAATTAAAAAGCCTATTTCTGTTACATACACTGTAAAAAACTGCTCAATAGTTAAAGAGCACACTGTACAACTTTTTCTTGAAATACATAGAGCTGCAGCCTTCGAACTGCAGGAATTAATCATTTCGTCCTCTTCACAGGTAAAAGAATTAACCAGCTGCGTAATTGCTCTGGGAGAAAAAGGAAGAGGCAAAAAAAATTAAGAATTAACAAGGTGAAGCCACTATAAAAATGAAATGCACAGCAAAACTCAGACCTCAGTTTAAACTAACAACCTATGTTTACAATATATTCTACATTTCAGTTGTCATCTTCTCTTCCCGCTCCCTCTTCCCCCCATTCAAATACTCCTAATTCCTTTATGGGTCTATGTCTAAAGGTTTTCTAAACTTTCATAAACACCATACATACATTTACCAAAAAACATACCTAACATTCTTACAGCAGTATGGTCAGGACACAATTTCCAACATTATTACAAGTTATTGATATTAAAACTATATGATAGGTGTTTGGGTCATTGTTGTTTGTTTTTTTTTCCTTATTAAGAGAAGAATAACCATCAGTTTAAACAAATGATTTTAAAACACACTGCAGAAAGCCTGTTAAAAGCAGGTTTCACCAGCATTAGTTCTTAGCCCAAAAGGACAACGAGGAGAAAAAAGAAGCGAGTGCTGGATGTCAAGAAGGAAGAGAATCTCAGAATGCCAACTACAGGAAACTCCTTCGTGAACTCGGTCCAACAGATTGTTGTTTTGGCTCAGTAGCCTCCTTTATGATAAGGCCTGTAAATCAACTTTGCAATAGAACATTACTATGTAAACTAAAATACTTGATACCAACAGTCTTACGTCAAAGGGCTTGTTTTCTGTTTTTCTTTGTTTTGTTGGTTTTTTTTTTCCCAAATCCAACAGTTGGTCGCAGAAGTAAATTATTTTCGTGGCTCTTATTCAGCTGTTACCAGTTCAGGGGGAGAAAAAAAGAAAAAAGTGTGTGTCTGACTCATATGTCCTTCAAGTACATGCAAGGCTCAATTGTTTCCAAAATGCAGGAGCTTGGGACCTTAAGACACTGAAGAAATAGGATTATGAGGAGAGCCCATCTGAGTAAGTACTTTATCCAGCCACTGAAGAGGACCATGAAGGTGTATCTCTATCCAGCATGGAGTGCTTGTTACATCTTGCCGATGATATTCAGCTCCCCAACCCTGGAAACAGAATCATAAGCAGGGAAAAAGAAAATCATCTTATTTTATAATAGCAAATATATGAGAAGCACGCTTGAATCAATTCCTTTCTTACTGAAATAATCTAGCTTTCATAATCAGACGCTATTCTGCTGAAAATTGATTATTACCACATTTGAACAAACAAACCCAAAGTTAAAAAAAACAAATTTGTAGAAATTGTCATTTTGAGATCTCTTGGAATTGAACTCTAAGTTCTCAAAAGACGTGACTTCTGGAATGCAAGACTTCCCCACACTTCAATGCCAGTTATATCACGTCCAATAAACCCTCTAAAGAGAAAGGTAATCAAGTCTTCCACATCAAGATCAAAAACAAGAAGAATGTTGATAAATAGATCAATCAATTAAAAGCTGAGGTCACAGACTGACACTGTGGAATTGGGGCTGAGGTATTTGTCTGATAAGAATCAAAGCATCTTTTGCAGGATTGAAAGAATACCAACAGTAATTATCAGGAAATTCCTCTTAGAAACAAGCAAGCATGATCACTCCACAGCAGGGTATTTCCGAAGTTAAGGCAAGCTTCTACCCAATTCTGTAATACTTGTTATCAAGGATATAGGCAGACATTTAAACAGCATTCAAGTGAACTGTTTTCTGACTGTCTATATTAAACCCCTAATGAAGGAATAGCTCGACTCCCAATAGGTGGCAGCAGCTATGAACACAGTGCAGCACAACACTGCATACGCAGGAGTCGTGCATCCATACAACTCTGCGGTACAACTATTGGGCTACATCCCATATCAACAATCCGCTCCATTGCAGGAACCCCTGCCCTAACACATCTGAAAGATTCTATCCTCTTCCCATACAGGAGGACGTTTCTGCATAATTTCAGCTTCATTTGTCTAGTTTCAAAGATGTGACTGGCCTTTTTACATCAGAGCTTATGTATATAACTTATTCATGGCCACATAACAAATCTTGACCTTAGAATAGAAAGGTACATGCGTTCATTGAAATAATTATTGCCACTCCTAATTTGGGAGCTGCTGTTCAAGAGACACCCACAATAGCTGCAATGACTTACAAGCTGTGCTATCTCACATCAAAAATATCAGCCAAGAACAAAAGCATAAAGTTCAGCTGGGAATCCTTGAGATCAGGAGACGGCACAGACCGTTGCAGCATCATTTAAAAGGGCAAGCCTGATGCTGCGTAATTAATTTGTCGCTTCTACACTTTTAGGACAAGCAACTGACAATTCAACTATCCAAAGCTTACTTGTACTGTATCATGCCATATCCCACAAAACTAAGTGCCACCATAATTCCGGACTAATTATGTAAATAATTATAGAAATATACATGATCACATCAAATACAAGTATTCAATTGAATAACTATCTAAGACAAGCAATTTAATGAAATTAGAGTAGTTAATAGACATGACAGGAATGCTTCAGAAAGTAACTAGAGAGACTGTTAAAGAAACACCTTTTACAAGTCACCTCAGTTTTCAAAGTCTGTATCAACAGATGGATTTTTGTCTATGGACAACTTCAAATTGTTAAGGTGCATCTTATACTTAAAGAACAGTATTCATAAGTATTTCAATTTAGCAGTTATTAACAGGTCAATGGAAGGAGGCAATCAACAATTCAGAATCACAACATCAAGAAAAATCTATTTTGCTTACAAAACAGCCCCAAGCAAATGTTCACGTACCTTTACAAAACTCATGCGGAGAGTGCACATCTTAGTAAGCTCATACACTGTCTCAAAGCCATGGTTCACTGACTGTGCTAAAAGCTGAGCAAACTCCTGATTATTGAAAATCTTCAAACTGCAGCCACTGGGAATTTTGCACACCGTGGTTGGATGGAAACCGTGGTGGTAGTTGCAGTTTCGACTCTGCACAAAAATACTGCTGTCACTGAGGCATTCAGCATACACTTCTCCACCAACATAATAGAGATGAACACCTGGGAAAAGAATGTTGACATGAGGAGGTTAGATTAATTCACATTGAGCATCTGTTTTTCATGGTCTGTTTCCATATGTTTCTTCTCAAAGAAATGAACATTAATAGTGCATCAGACCATCCATCCTCTGTCAGTCTTAAAACTCTTCTTTTTTTTTTTTTTCCACCAGTAGATTTAAAGGATGGTTATGTATGCATGCCTAAGTAAGGAGAAAATCAGTAACTGCTGCATTTTTACATGCTGTGTATTCAACAACAAACCAGTAAGTAAGTACAGTAGTTTCGATGCGGTGCATTGGATGGATTGTTCAGCTAAATTTTCTTTCACTGTATTTACACAAAACAGTAATCGGGAATGCATGAGGAGAGAGCAGAATCCCTACTATATTGATTGCAAATACTAAAATAGCCCTAAGCTGGATGATCTGTAGAAATTGACTGCTATTTTAATAAGTTCAATAGGTTGTTTTCAATACACTTGAATGCTTTCGCTCCAGAAAACTAAGAAAAAAATAATGTGTAGATGCATCTCTTAAATGAGGGCACATTCCTACCAACTTGACAGTCCCACCCCTCCTATTTCTCACTCCTTCACCCACCATTGATGGCAGCAAGCCCCCAAAATGCACCCCATAGGGAACCACTGGAGATGCGCTGTCAGGACGATTCAATTTGGAAAGCTTTAAGAAAGCAAGAAAATTTCCCTTTAGTTTAGAAGTTAATTATTTGCTGCTTAAACTTTTCACCTCCCACAGTGCAACAAGTCAAAGAAGCAGACAATTTAAATAGTGAAGTCAGAAAGCTTGACTGTGCTCGGTCACGTGAGATGTGTGTACGTGTAAGGGAACACATAGCGCCATCTGATCATCAAAACTATTTATGGCTGCCTTCAAGTACAGGATTTACTACTCTTCCTCAAAGACTAACAGTTCTACGTCATCATTAACTGTATACATTTTCTTCTTCAACAGCTTCCTTGTCTTTTCCGTTCTACTTTGGTATATACACAGTTAAGCACTTCAGCAGAACTCTGCTTGCAGCTGGGTTACTTTTAAAGGGAAAATGAATGAGGTGTTAAATAAATATCCTCATACTTGGTAAGATGGATGGGGAGGAAAAGAAAGAATAAGTTTTAAGACTCGAGTCTCATAGCACAGGTGTGGTGTACTGCTGAGAGCTGCACACATCCTCATGCAGAGGAAGGTTTTCCAGTTTAAGGGCTAAAATTTGATGACTGAAGGGTTCTCTGCAGTTTCAATTCTTTTCTTCTCAAAGAAGGGGGAGGACGATCAATTGGCATTTATCACTGCTTGGGCATGCTCAGCCCCTAACTGTCTCAGAAAATTTAGTTTACTAATAATGTCAGCTCTTAAGAAAGGTGTCTGGCAGGAATAATCCACTGAAGGAGCAACATCAGATTCCCACGTAATCAGTGTTACAGACAAATCCTCAAAAGAGGGGATGGTATTAAGTCAGACATAAAACAGAAGCTTTTCTCTTCTGCTGGACACTGTCACAGCCATTAAAGAGAAGCACAAAATTCCCACTGAAAGAATCACCAACCTCTTTAAAAATGCATTGAAAAAAAACCTGTTTTAGCAGGCTGCCCCTCTAAATGCATCTTAGCGTAGCTCATTTACGTCAGAACCGGAAGGTACATAAGATTTTGTAAGAACTATCAATTGGATTTCCACATTACCAATAATCAAGAGAAATCAAGACATTCCATTTAAAAAAGCCTTAAGCTCTTGCACTAATTAAGATTACGATAGGCTTGAGGCAATAAAAATGGTTAGGGATAGAATCTTCCTGCAATTATGCAGCTCGTAAGAAGAATACTGGACTCAAAAGACGTAGCCAGAAAACTACATATTTATTAACATAATAACATTCTAAATAAGCATTTATCCCACATACCAGGAAGAGCAGCCTGCTCTTGAAGCAAGTGGCTCAGGCTATCATGCCTAGAGGAAACAGTCCCAAAGAAACCCCTCAAAAAAGAATGCAAAGATTGAAAATTCACCTTTTCCAATGTGCCTCCTGGTATTCTCAATGGTGGAATTGCGGTTAACATTGGAGAGCAGCCCCAGGCAAAATCTGTTTTTGTTGTTTGAAGGATCAGTGAAGCCATCCACCAGGATGCTGGTGGAAGAGGCGTGGAAGGCCTCCCCAACACGATTATTCAGCTCATAATAAACAATGGAGCACCAGTGCTTCGGCTCTTCATAAGCAACAGCCTGAACATCTGCAAAGCAACCAGGCAAAGTTACAGTCTGGCAGTGCTGGAACACAGGCCTGAGATCTAAAGATTCACAAACTTGCAGATTTTGGCAGAAGATCACTAAAAGATGATCTGGATAATCAACTGCAGCTAAATGAAGGGTCTTCTGTTCTCAGATATTTTTGAACTTTTCATTGCCACAGACACACAATAGAATAATTCCACCTTAGTTTTACTTGCACAAGACCCAAAGCAGAAAATACCAGCAATAGTAAGGCACAAGAAGCTCCTAAGTACAGAGAAGGAGTGCCCCAATAACCCTGCTGCACATTCTACACACACTATGGCACAGGCCCAGACAGCAGAGAAACACCATAACTGTAGAGCTCAACTTTCTTTCCAATCTAGTAAGTTAAATCATATTTCAGCATCATTTTGCTCTGGTTTTGTTGTTGTTGTTTTTTGTTGGTTTTTTTTTTGTCATGTATTTTACAAAATTAAAAGTAGTCATTGCTCTTACTGTGAAGTTCTACAGCAACAAGGAGAAACTGCAACTGCAGAAGAAATCATTACAACTTTGGATACCAGCAAGTATAGAGCTATCTTAAAAACACAGTCAGCAGACTAGTAGTTTGGCCTTTGGGGCTTGCATTAATCTTTCTTCAAGAAGTAAAAGAGGTTGATATCTGTCTGCAGAACATGCAAACTACCTGGGATCCAAGGTTGATCAAGGCCATAACACACAATCCTAACAACTGTGCCGGACAACAGAATAGGTGCAATAAAAGCAGATATTACCTAATGGGAGCCTTTTATTCACCAAATGCTAGCCAGTACAAATCCTGCAATTGTTCACCAACAGAAGAATTACTTGTTGAGTAATAGCAAGGATTTCTCAGGACTTGGTTTTCTCGACTATGGTAGCAACAAACTCCTCCTCAGCAGCTCCTAAGCAAAGCTGAGAATTGCACAGAATGCCAGCAGGACATCCACGGATCACAATGTCTATCTAGCAGGCTCTAGAAACACATGAAAGCCTTGAGCTAACACCTGCGACTCTGAACTGGGAAAAATTTCTTCAAGATACAGAAGATCTTCACTGAAAGCAGTTTCTCACTGGGTGTCCAACAGCACAGGCTTCTTCAAAGGTCTCCACCCAATAGGTATTCTTTCAAGTGTCAAATACAGCTACAAATTATTAAACTGTCTCCGAATAAAAGGAGGCTAGCAAAGGGATGTGGTTGCTTTATGTGGTTTCTTTCAAATTAAAGAGACTATTTCCCTGCTCAGCCTAGTACAGTTGGACGTGCTGCTGAGATAACAGCTCAGCAGATTAAAGCTCTAACGACAGGCCAAAGTGCTAAAATGAAAATAAGATTAGTATTACAGAGAAGCTTGTTTCTCTGGCCAAAGATTCTTACTCCCAACCCCAATTCTTCACTGAAGTCAGCCAACTAAGTCCAGTGTTAGTATTTTCCTTTCTTCACACATTGTGATTTTTCTGATGTACAGAAACAAAACTAAAATCCCCTCAAATAAGCATTAGATATCAGATACAAAAGGTAACAAATAGTAGAAAGCAGGACAACACATCCTACTTTATTGTGCAAAACTTGAGTATGTCTACATCTGATTAATACCTTGTTTAAAAGAGTGCTAAAAAGGAGCTAGTCTTTCTTAGCACATTCTATCGTCTCACATCACTGTTAAAAAAAATTAAAAACCATTCATTAGTTACTAGGAAGAGATTACTACACTTTAAACTCACATGAAGATGCCAGCAATTATCAAAGCTGCAGCTTTACCCCAGTTCTCAAAAGTCAGGAAGAAATCTTGCCAGCTGGCCATTCTTCCAGAATGAATCATATCTCTCTCACACAGATTTCATACTAACTTCCTTACATTTGCTTTAAGTCATGCAGAGCAGGTGCGCTTAGTCTCTCTATTCCCAGCATGGGCCAACAATGGAAATTACCCAACTTCATTGACAGGATGCAGCTTGTTAAGTCAAAGCTCTTAAGACTAACAAATCACCATGAAAAACATGCTTCTAAAAGCTTGCAACAAAAATGGTGCAGTAAGTTTACATTAAAAACTGTGGTTTTGATCTGTGACAGATTTTTTTTAAATGTAGTGAAATTACAGGCTGTGTACAGAGAGAGACTGTGTAAATGTGTGTAAAAGCATACAAACAACACACAGTGGCATACAAAAGCAAGGGTTCTGACTTGGTTTTGCTTTATTTATTAACTTTATTAACTGAAGAGGCAGAGGTGAGAATCCACTGTACTTAACTACTAATAGGAGAAACCCTAACGGACAGTATTTTTATTTGGAATGGCTGAGTAGTAAGAGAATGGTTTGTATCTTCCTTCTTGCTTTTTATTAACTCGTGTAATAGAAGAATTATGTACACATGGATTTTTAAGAAGGATAAGCATGCAAAAGTTTGCAGTGAGGCATAAACACTGATAGACATACTTTGGGCCTTCAGCAGCAGCAAGTTGTACACACACAGTGTATGGAATCAGAGAATACTGGAAATGCTACACAGATGGGGTTTATCACATGCAAAATTCATTCCACACAGAGTAAATAGTTTACCAGGGAAGCTATCCAAATTGTTTAAAGAGTGCAAATATACTTCCTGAAACCAGACATTAAGCTTAGCAACAAAACAAGCACAAAAAAATCAAACAATAGTTAAATTGTTCGTATGCTTGTGATCTTTATAATCATTCTGGCACAGCGTTGAGCTCACTGCTCTTTCTTGGCACGGTCAGTAACTGTGTAAGACTGTTTGTTCTCTATTGAGAGCTATTTCTCACAACATGATGCATGCACTAAATCCCTTACCTAGCAGCAAAGCTGACTGAAAAGGCTTTAAAAAACAACGTTAAAAAGATTTCTACATCACAGTAGATAAAGCAATGGGTTATATATTTTATTAAATATAGATTTTAAAGTCTGTAGTGCTGTCATCTCAGCAGACAGCTTAGAATTCTGAAACACACTGTCACTGCAGGACTCAACGATGGAACAAAAAGGGCTGGTACATCAGAAGAAAAATTTTTTTTTTAAAAGCTCTTATCACCAGGAGAAATGGTAACTGTACAAAATAGAGCATACACTTCGGGGACTTCAAGGTAAGCACTGAATTTAGAACCCAAACACAATGAGAATAGGAAGTTTTATTATATGTACTGACATATGACATGTAGTGCCTGAGAAAAACGTCTGCAGGCATTTACATAATGACCATATTAGCACCTGTTCTCCGACCAAGTCCTCGTTTAGAGAGCTACCTGACTGTAGTGGATTGTGGATCTGCCATCCACAATTCAGTAGATGCTATATAGAACCAACTACACTGTTTCAGTCATAGAATCATTTAAGCTAGAAGAGAGCTCTACTCCAACTGTCCACTTCCCACCAGTATTGCCCACTAAACCACATCCCAAAGTACTACATCTACCCTTTCCTTTAACCCCTCCAGGGATGGTGACAATAAACCAATGTATAAGAGATAAGGAGATTCCTTTCCCTGCATGTGTACCATTTCAGTATTGAATGCAAAAATGTGCAGCATTGTAATAATTGTCTTTTCTGGGACTATCAGAATTTCCACACAGAAATATATAAAATGATCTTGACCATGATGTGATTGGACATCAGAAAGTAATAAAGTCCATGTTTTTTTTAAACAAGTAGTGTTCTTGTCCTAAATAACTATTTACTTTAAAAATAAAAACTCTCTCTCTAGATTTATTATTTCATGCCTTAGAGCAACAGGGAAGAGAAATGACATGGTTTTGTTTTTTTCTTTTCTACATATAAAGATGTCCACAAAAAATATGCATCCAATATTAAAGTAACCAAACAGTTCTGAAAGTACTATACTCTTAAGAAGCAAAGCAGAAGATGAGAAGGAAATGTTTTTACCTCCTCTGTGTATGTCAGGGTGGATTCCAGGTGCCATCATGTTGGTATCCATTGGCTGGGAGGTATCGTGTGTCATCTGATCTTCCGGAGGCAGGTAAGCAGGAGGAGGAGTATCAGCTAAATATAGAAGAGATGGAGATAGATTAGTCCTTTCTTCTCTTTAAAGTATATACATACCCACATAAGCAGCATTTGTCTGGAAATGCGTCCAGTCTGACTCAGCTATAAATTTCCACTCACCAGAAATCTGAGAAAGCAATCATGGACCTTGATTCAGGAAAGCAAAAAAATTACCATGTATACCAAGCACAAGTACAATAAAAACAAGTCCCTTCCCCCCATCAAACCACAAAGGAAAACTTAGCTATGCTGCCCGTCCACATCTTTGGCAGGTAGAAAATTCCAGAGACAATAGCACATAGAGAGCTCTTAGGAAAAGGTCTGAAGTACATACTGAATGCTGTAAATGTGAACAGAACTTGGAGCAGAAAGCTTTTAGTTTCAGCTTTTCTGCTTGTTTCATTCCTTCAGTGAAGCACACAAACACTCCTGATACATCCACAGCTGTCACAACAACTACAGAGTACTAGCTCCATCTCCCTAGAAAGGAAATAGTAGAAAGTACTGACGAACCCAAGTTCTCCAGAAGTAATTTTTGGGTTTGGAATTTATTTGTTGCCATCTCCTACTGGCTGCACTGGGCAGCTCAGCATTGAACCACTAGCACAATAGCCATCCTAAGCACTACGACTGTACTCACTCAGCCACTGTCATCACGCTGTTTGAAGCACCCTAGGCAGGTACTCGTACTGCTCTCCAGCTGCCTGCTTTGCTTCCTAAACAGCTTCCCAGCAGCTGCAAGAAGCTGCCAATGGCACCACTTTCCAGGAAAGCAGAGGGCTCGCTTCATCACAGCAATCACAGTGGTACATGTGAGAGAGAAACCCCCGACCAATGCCTACAAACTTTTGCTGCAAAAGCTGGGGTTAGACTGCTTCTTGTGAGCGCTGCTGCTGCTCATCCCACATTTACTTCCATCACTGATTGCCAGCTACCACAGCAAGTAATCACGGGTGCCTCCAAAAACCTGAAAACCAAATTAACATCAGGAAAAGGCAAGAAAACCATACCACTGATTTCTAAGCTGAGTGTTTTATGTCTAAAGCTGGCTGATAAATTGCTTATTTACTTTTTTGGCAGAGCAAGCAGCAGGAAAAGACAAAAATGACAACAGGACTGCTTTAAAGCTTAGCAGTCTGCAGTGGAGTTCCAAAGCTTTTTGTTATAATAAAACTTGGACATTCATGTGCATGCAAGTACAATGTTGGAGATGCACACATAGGGAAATAAGATTCTAAGACCACAGGAAACAAATCAGTGAGTTTCTGGAAAGTTTTCGAGATTTTTGGACAACTGTCTTGATCCTTTTTTTTTTTGTGTTTTCCAATAGTCAGCCTCCTCTTTCCCTAACAGAGTAACATGGACAGCTGTGCAAAACATGAAGGACATCAGCATCTTGCCTTTCCTCTAAATCAGTTTCTTCACTGCAGCCCATGACCTGTCCTTATGGGGATGCAGACAGAACAGACCTCTCAAGATCAAGCAGGCTTCCACAAGACGATGTTCAGGAAGGCCTTCCTGTTAGAGAAGCCTTTGGATGAGACCCAACCACACTGGTCATATTTAAAACAAAACAGAATGCAGAAGCAAGACAGCTGTTTCTGCTGCAACTTTTCACATTTAAAAAACAAACAACCAAAAAAAACCCAACCACCAAATACATCCACTCTTCTTCCTTCCCCCTTGTCTCTGCAAGTTCAGTCATCTTCACACAACTATCAGCACTAGAAATCTCCAAATGTTAATTTCACATAATGGAAAGCACATTTTCACAAGCCCGTCTGCTTTTGTTTACACATGCTCTCCTACAGCCCCCAAAGAAAACACACAAACAGAACATCCATAAGCATCTGTATAGAGTCCTCCTCCTAACATTTAGGTCAAGAGATCACTCATAAGCAGCTTTCACAGTATTTTAACAACCCTATACGGAAATACAAAAATACAATAATGACAGCTTCACAGACTTTTCTACGAACAGTTCAGCAAAAAAAGGTTGCTAATTCTTTGAATGTACGAATTAAGAAGTCTGAAGATTTATTTTCAGAGCCTCAAGTGTTCTTCAGTTGATATATACTTGGTTTTTCAAATTACATCACTACGTGAAGAAATTTTATCAAGTAGCAGCAGCATGATCCCCTTGAGAAACATCCTTTTGTAGAACTACAGCTCTGTGCTGAATTTATTATCTCTTTCCTAAGCAGGAATGATCCACAGCATTATTCTTCTTGTGCATTAAGTTTTACACTCTATGGAATATGCTGCCAAACCATCTCCCAAGAATATTCATGATATGGAATCCTTCCCTCTGTCCCAGAAGATTTTACCTGTAACATCTGAACTGTGTTTAAGAGGAAACAAATTCAAAGCCTCAATAATGTTACAAGAGACCAACCAAGTCTTCATTACCTAAAGTTTACTGCTAAATACAAGAGACCAACCAAGTCTTCATTACCTAAAGTTTACTGCTAAACACAAGCGTTGGCTGACAATAAAATACTACTACGCAAAAATACAAAGATATCTGTTACATTCAACCACATTTTCACTTCTCACAAGTCACAGAAGTTGACCATACCTGGCATCTGAAAAGGGCTTCCTGGGTCTGAGCTGGCTGGAGAATGTGGGTAGGTGCTACTGCTGCTTCCAGGCGAGTTTGGATAGCTGCTGTTTGGCGAATGGGGAAACGGGTGACTGTTGGGCTGCTGAAAAGAGTCCGGGAAAGTAGCATTGTGTGGCATGTGGGGCTCATTTTGTCCCAAGTTGCGGAACTGAGCCAAGAGGCTGTGCTGAGGGTTGTACTCACTGTGCCTTGGAACCAGCACTGGAGGTAGAACTGCAAAGGGAGAAAGCAGGACAAAGCAATAGCATTAGAGACACAGTACTGAAGGACTAGGCCATACCTGGAAAAAAAACATTCTTCATCCCATAAGGCATAATTTCCATCTGCCTTAAAAACAAGGTAATCGAATCCAGGAACACGTTTAAGCAAGAACTCTTTTCCTTATATCCAAGTTACTGTATAGCTTGAATTTATAGTGATTGCACAAGCTACCTGGTTCGCCAGACGAGCTTGATTTTACAGAGGGCCAGGGAAGATCCAAGGATAAGCAGCAATTCAGCACTGCAGGTTTTTTTCTGCACCGAAAAACACTGAAGTAGCCATAGCACAATCATGACAGGCACTCTGTTCTACTCTACTTGTGATCTTGCTAATCATGTAATGGCCTGTAACCTAAAACCTTGCTAACAAGGACAGATAAGTTTTTTCTGAAGACAATACTAATACCATACAGACCTTGAACTGAGCCTGGTCCCAGCAGTTATATTTTTAACCTAGGCTATGTTCTTACCGATTAGAGTCGAAATGGTTATTAACACTAAAAGTCAGTTTGCAAATGCAATTCAAATAAAGTTACACATTTCAAAAATAATAAAAACAAAACAAAAACAACTGAGCAGCCATTGAGTTCCAAGTAAATGCTGCTACATGATCAGAGAAACACATCACATACTGCTGGCCTCCCCACACTCTCAAGGCCTCCTCAGCAGCAGGAAACAAAGCCCTCTTTAACTGGGAATATGAACATGATACCAGCTACATCAAGATAAAAGAATCAGCTCTTTTTCCAACACTTCATCTTCTATCTTTGAATGCCTCACAGCGAAGTCCAAGCTACTCAAAAGATTAAAAGCTCATCTTGTTTGAGAGATTTTTGTGGGTTATGGAGGAAAGAGGAGAAGAAAGAGCCTACACAGGCAATCTATGCACGAGGAAGTGAAATTAGAAGTTATTGCCCTCCACACCTGTCTGCTTCCATTCACTACCTATTTCACAGCTGCACAGCCACACGGGACCAGGCAGCCCCCTGGGTGTCTTCAAGGGAGGCTGCCAAAAAGCACAAAGCATCAAAGCAAGCCAGGATACCACAGCCCCTCCCTGAGACTCCTGCCCTGCACCATGACCAGGTGGCCATGCAGGAGAAAAGCAGTAGCACAGCAGGAGCACGTATACAGGAGAAGCCCCCACAGGCAGAACTGTATCACTCAATTAAGGAAGGTGTTTCTTAGCAGTTGCTTCACCATAAGGTGAATTACGCACTGACCAATGCCTACAAGCTTTTTTGCTTGTTGCTTTGACCAACATCATTTTGATAAACGGGTTCTTCCAATGCATGAACAAACTTAGTCTTCCAGCACTTTGATTACACTAACGCATTCAGGTTCTTAGTGGAGTGTCCAAGGATCTAAGAGCCCCCCCACTATCACTACAACCACAGACCAGGCCTAAAGTCTAGGTCCAAATTCAAATTCAAAGCAGCAAGTTTTCCTTGCCTTTTATTTATTTAAGTATACACATAACATAGAGAAATTAATCTTTTTTTTTCCTGCTAATGGTATTAAAGTGTGAAATCTTTGATCCCAGAAACCTTCCTTGAATACACACACTGAAAGGAAAAAAAAAAAAAAAAAGGACAAGCCTCAAACTGAAATTAAGGCTGCCAGTTAGTGTCAAAAGCGTGTTTTAAAGATTTAATCTGATATTTCATTTTCCTAGAACAGCTTCACCAAGTTTCAATGGATCTCAAACACCCAAGACAGACGTCATTCGTAAGGAGATTTGTTTAGGAATGAAAATTTTGGCTGACACCCCTTTGAAAGGAATATACAAAGTTGCTAACTATAGCATTTTCTGAAACAAAGCACACCTATCCACCATTCTTTCAAAGTTCCCAATCGCAAAACACCACAGGAGAAGATGCATCTCCCTTGGCCATGCAGGCTGCCTCTTACCTCTAATGCAACTGTTTTCATAGGCCTCATAAGTCACTGGAAAAAGCCAGGAAATAAAAAAAAAAACAAACATCTGAGTTGGACATCATAAATCCCCTCATCCACAGCATAGAAAATGTCAGGTCCACTCTGTCTGAATAGTAGGATCCCTCCAAATTAAACACTTTCTGTTAAGCCTGACAGTCCTTTTGTAGTGAGGTCAAGCAATACTTCAGCTGTCATGGTCAACATCTGCTGGACTCATAAATTACAAGTGAAAAAAAAAGTAACAATGAGATCATGTGTTAAAAAGTATTTTCCCTTTCCTGTCTTTATGGTTCTTCCTTACTCTGCTGAGCATTAAAAACACATCTTTCCTATCTCTTCCCTTCCTGCAGATGAAGGTCAAACCATTAACTTTTCTAAAGTTAATTTGTGCAGAAAGTACATCACTTACCTTTCCCATCCGCAGTCTCACATTAAACAATGGCATGCATGACATCACAGGAAGCCATACAATTTATAGCACTTAAAAGCTGGACAGCAGGATATTTTCTGTATGTTTTCTGTAATTAAAATACAGCAGTGCCAATTTTCCCAAGGTATACATGCATGTTCTCAAAGTTCAGAAGGACTCAAGACAAGAACACATCTCTCTTCCCAACCGTCCCTACACTTTTCCTCCCACTACTCCTTCAACCTAAAATAATTAAGTGCCAACATCTTCAAAATACACACAGAAAAGGGAGGATGGGAGGAAGAAAACGACTAGTCCTGATACTGCCTAAACGGCCTCAAAAACATCACTGCAGAATTTACTCGAATGCTGCCTCTAATTCACATTCTCCTGCATACAAAATTTAGATGAGGAGAAAAAGCCCCGAAGGCCACATCAAGTGGGACTGAGCCTACAGCACTGCAACAATTCCGACCCTGAGACAACCACTCCCTGCCATAACCTGATCTCTCTGAGGTTCAAGGGTTTTTGGCAGCCTCGACGCTCACGCTGGAGTCACTGAGGAATTAATCTGAACACCGTCCTCCCGCAAGCAAAGCCATGAGTGGGACTGGGCAGGTCACAAGCAGGAATGGGTGCCAGGAATTCAACGTGTGAAGGGGGATGCATACTGTTCTCATTCCCCTCACCCCTCTCTAAGGCAGTGAGCTCCTGGTCAGGGTGCAGCCCTCAGCCATATGGAATAACAAATTACCAGGGCTCAGCACAGCAGAGGAGGAGGCCGATCTCTGCAGCAGCTGCCAACTTCAGGAAGAGGTATAATTGAAGAGGAGAAAGCATGGGAGAGTTATTCTGTGCTAAGCCAGCACACCTGTTGCTACAAAATAATGAACTAGGGCACATCTTTGTTGTGGGGATCTCTGCAGGGCACCACTCTAATGGTTTGCAGTGAGAATTTCTCCCTATTTTGCTGTCTGCAGTGGAAAACAGTTGCAAAAGTATGAAAAATATATATATTAAATTATCACTACTTCTATTCAGTTGGATGCACATATTCAAAGGAAACACACTAAATACACTGCTGTCTTAAAAAGCTACTGAAACAATCACAAAATCTGTAAATTCAACCTCATAAAAATGGTTAAAACCAGTTAATGGAGTAGAACTGCAAGTCATCAGACAGCTCGATTTCTGTACTTTCTCAAACACCGGATTAAAGGGTTTCAGGGGTTAAGCTGAGTCTAAATCTTGCTGCAGACGTGCACCTGAATGCCACCCCTAAAACATGCCTACTAGTAGCAGCACTGCTACTAGAGGCTGAGGACAAAGGTAAACCCCCTGGAAGTCAAGCTGGGTATGTTTGCAGAACTGTAGCAAAGAAGAGATCCTGTATCTGTCAAGAGAGACAGCCTGGGAATTAGGTAGCTTGTTTTTAACATGCAAATTGCATTCAGAGTTTGCCTGCACCAAAAAAGTGGAGCTGTATTAAAGAAATTACAGCTAAAGGGCAATTTCACCCACAGGGCTATTTCATCTAAGAGCCAAGAACGTCAGAAACACAGAATATAGACCAAAGACAACTGGGCTGTTCAGATAAATGTGCCAACCAACCACACCAAGAAAGAAATGCTTTTATGAAAATGTTACAGTGGCCTTTGAAGAAAGCTACTGATCTCTACTCTTTGCATCTCCGTTCTTCAGAAAACTAACAGGTGTGCTGAGCTCAACATTTTCTTGGTTTTCCTTTTTGTTCTAATTTCACATTCCAGAGATAATGGCTTCAGCAACCATACTACTCCAAACCAAAGGACCCACTGTACGTTCCAAGTACCTTATTTTTTATCCAGATGAATTCTGCTCGTCTTACATAAGCCCAGATGATAGCTAGTTTCCCTCACGGGCTTGTTACATGAACATCTGGGCAGGGATTTCTCTTTTCATGTCTGGAAATTCTAAGAACAAATAATGGAATATTCCAAGGAGCCACACAAGAAAGCAGGCTCTGATCACCCTTTCCAAAGTAAATTCCTCTATTTCTGCTAGCTTCACCAAATAAATAAGTAAAAGATGAGCAATTGCTTCTTCACCCTCAACCACCCTGCCGTTAAATATCATGACGACTTGGTGGGTACATGTTATGTAGAAGTGTTTGTGCAGCCTTACACCAAAACAGGGCCTTCAGCACTTATGAAGGCCTCGAGGCACTATAATTAGACTGTGTACTTTAATTTGCAAGTATCATATGGCTTTATTTTCATATGAATTTATGCAAAGTCACTCATGTTTTATGGGGAAAACAAAACTACATGCTGAGAAGGAAGGAAATCCTCACACAGCAGTTGGCATTATCTGAGGATGGACATGAATACACAAGGCTCACTCAATGCTCTTGACAGGTCCTTCTGTAAAGACAAAGTGGCAAAGGAAGAAGTCAGAATGAAAGAAGAAATGCAAACCAGTACGTGCACGCACACAAAATCCTAAGAGCACAGCAGCAATGTTAAACTAACAAATTTCAATGCTTCTAAAGACTTCTGCATCAATGTCCTGCCTTCGAGGCCAGTGTAGCTGGAGCAGGCTGTGGCACCCCAGCAAGTAACCAGTTG